CATCATCATCATCATCATCATCATCATCATCATCATCATCATCATCATCACGTTGCTTGTGTATGTCAGGCTTCCCTCCATACAGTGCCTTGGAATGACTGCAGCATTTCTACTAGAGTGACCTCGGACATTTTCTGATATGAATCGTAGCGTTTCCAGTTTTTGCCTGAGGATTGGCAGCAGGCATCAGTCCTTGGACGACCCCACAAGTCAAGGTCGCTTGGATTGAAAAGAATGGGACATCAGCAAGGCGAGTGTTTAATGCATATGATCGGCCCCATTGAGCTATTGAGTGTGTTGTTCTGAATGTTTCATCATAAAACTATATATAGGTTTGATGCCTTCAGACCCAACAGGTGCGCAGACCGGCATCCATGTGCTGGTTTTCCTGCCGGCATCCATTTCGGCCCCAGTAGGAGAGAGAGTGGACATCCAAAACCAGACTCATGTGCAAGTCATTTTTCCTCGGACCCAGAGCTGCTTTCAACAAGAAGCAGTGCAAGCCAGGGCCTCATAGAAATCTTGCAGCTGAATGGAGAATGGCGGAGGATTGGACATGATTGAACGATGAAGCTGAGGGCTGTCGCACAGCAGATGATTGTTCGGTCCTGTGCGGTCGCAATTGATGACATTGATGGCTCGAATCACCCGGCCAGCCGGGCCCTGGGGCCAATGAAGCACTGGAATGAGAAGAATGAAGGTCATGACCTCCATGTCGTTGGGGGATGACTCCGACATGACACCGATGTTGCATCTGCCGGGGGCTTCTTCGGGGCCTCCCCCGCGCCGTCCAAGAGCCGCTGCGACCGGTCACGTGCCGAGCGGCACGCCCTCTCCGCAGCCAAGGGTTCTTCATAGCGAAGACGACCTGGTGGTACTTGGCAAAAGGATGACCGGTTGCGGACGTGCAACTTGCCACCCCACGTCCGGTCACGTGCCGGGAGCAGCTCGAGAAGTTCACCCCACGTGCGACCGAAGCTGCTGTGCCAAAGCCGCAGGCCTGAAGTCAGTGTCTCAGTGTGAGAACGAAGCGATGCACCAGCGCCAGCCTCGCACATGGAGCTTGCGTGCAAAGGACGGCAAGTTGGACGACTGGATGGGGCACCTGCAGACCTGCATGGAGCCGCAGCACCAAGGTGTGAAGACTTGCGGAATCTCCCAAGGTGCCAAAGAAGCCGTGCCAGGCAGCTGAGAGAGGGTCACTGCGTGGAAGTAGCCCATGCTTTTTTGTGCAGATAGGGTTTTTCAGTCTTTGTGGCTGTGTGCAGTCTCTTCACTGTTTCGCTGCAAGAAACCGCTATGGCAAGCCTTCGTCCCTCGCACGGTTAAAAGAAGGGTGATGGATTGGGCTGAGAATCAGATACTTTTCCTGGCATGATCACATCTCAAACTGACTCCAAGCTTAATCCTTGGAACCTCAATCAACCTGGAGCTTCCTGCACGAACCACGACGTCTCCGTTGGCGTATGTTGCCGCCATGCCTCCACGCGCAATCAGGGATGCCGGGAACCCGTTCGATGTCTCCCGCTTGGACTTGCTCCGCTTGCTGGCGCGATACGTGCAGGCCGCAGCGCGTGCAGCGGTACGTGGGATTTTGTGCGGAGTTTGATGGGGCTGTCAATGGTGCTGGTGGCGAGTTATTTGATGTTCCCTAACAAATTGTGGGTCGTAAGATAAGCCAAGATGTTTGAGGTGTTTTATGATTTGTTGTTCTTTTTTTCTGGTGGAAAGGAACAATGTGGACCCTATCATGCATGTCAAGGAGCTACAGAAAGAAGTTTGTTTGTTTGCATCAAGGAGGATGGCTTTACCTTTTTTTGCGTAGGATTGGAGCTACAATTGTATAATGTATGAACCAATTTTCTTACTGAGATATAGTCAGATCCCTACATGCCAAGGGCCACACAGCCACACACAGCGACAGATGAGTCAGTAAGAAGGCGAAACGAACGTGGAAGAGCGTGGCCAGTGTTCTTTGTTGGCTTGTGAACCAAATGTGCAAGCAACAGAAGCAACACGAAATATAAAATGTATGATAATTAACATCTTGGACAACTCTTTTGTGAGGTAATTTCTTTGGGGCACAGCCTTGATTCTTCATGATTAATCCAACTCCCCAGACATGGATGGTAAAACCTCTTCATGCGGAGTGGGGTTTATGTAGTTTATTCATCAACAGTCTACATGATATTGTTCTTAATGTGATGGTTTCAGATATGTGATTGTCAACCTTTACTTCCTGGGATGCTTGAGTTATATAAAAACATGACACACATGTTATAACATGGGTCAAGTGAGTTCGATTCACCAACCAGATATGCAAGACAACTGCAGCTCGTCTTTGAAGGCCCAGTTGCAGCTCGTCGCCTCACTGGCCAAGGAGGGGCGTTCGGTCGGGTGAGGAGACTGGATCCTGTTCGATTTTTTGAGACCCAAGCAGCACTGTTGAGGAGGAATTTCAGAAATCCAGAACCAATCCTCAGACGCCCAAACAAGACAGGTCTTCTGACCATACCCAAGCATGGGCATAGGGGTGTCTTTGCGCAGTTTTCAGTGTGCAACATTTGTATGGCAGCAAACTTTGCAGAAAGAGAGAGAGAGAGAGAGAGAAAGAGAGAGGTCGCTAGCGATTGGTGGGATATTGGATATCATGGTTGCGTTCTCCTCCCTGGTCAACCGGCAGATTGGCCCTTGGAAATCGAAGGCACGAAGAAGCTTTCGGATGGAGGGCCTTCGCGCGCCCGTGCACGCTGGTCGCAGCCATGACCCGTTGAGTTGAGCCGTTGACCGGTTTGGGCGGAGCCAGCGGGTCGGATGTGAAGCTCCTTGATCCCTCGGCCGGACAGGAGCGACAGATGAACAGCATCATGGTTCGGGCCACAGAGGGAGGAGATGGAGTCCGAATTCTGAGCCTGCAGGGTTGCTAGTGTTCACTGTGATGTGGAGCTTCTAGGATGAACAGAGCGTTTTTACATGTTTTTTTATGGGCTCTCCGACATTGTTTTGGAGTGAGAGAGCAGCTATTCAGTCAGCTATCCCTCCACATTAATCCACATTATATATCGAACGCATCCTGCATGGAAATCAACGGTACGAACTGCTGTAGAATAAAAGTTAGACTTCTCATACCCAGCGACAGGTTGAACCTGCCGATCAACGTATGTCAGATATCAGCCTACATCACCAATTCAAATGCAGAAAAAACTAAAAATTAAAAACAGAAGACATCATGTGCATTCATTTGCTCCTATCGGATCTCATCACCCTTCGCAATCGATCTTGGTGATAATTTGATGTCACCTTGCGAAGGTATACGTTTGGTGCCAAGCTGGTAGCCACTCACTTGGACCCTTTGCAGTTGCGTGAGCTAGGCTCTCCAAGAGGAGTACTCCTACTCGTTGTGTTTGAGCGGGGCGGCTGACCTCCGCTTGTTGCTTGGCAGATCTTGGCAGCCTTGGCCGCGCTGCAGGTGGTGGGTGGGACCAAGCGAAAAGTTGGCCACAACGAAAAACTTGTGTGTTTCCATGTTGCATATCTATATATTGTATTTTTGTGATATGTGATATATATATATATACATAGGTATATATAGGTTGCATCAAGGTCAAGTGAAGCCTGAAAACACATGGAATCATGATCACCCCTCTCAGCCTTGATTCACTCAACTCCTGTTCCAGACGGACCCACTTTTTGGGAAGCAAGGCACCCTCTTCCGCGGCAGCGGCTTAACCGCTGCTCAGCTCGGCTTAAGCGCCTCGCTCGCTCCGAGGCCCTCCATCATCCGCGCGAGCTTCTTCGATTTGCACATGGCCTTATGGGTGGATCGGCATCCCCACTATCAGGCCGGAGAGGAAGTGGAGCTGGTGCGGTGAACTGAGAGATAGAGAGAGAGATACGGAGTTGAACTGAGAGGTGAAGACGTATCTAGAGGGGGGGCAGGAGACCTCTACATGAAGATACACGAAGAGTGGAATGAGTTAGTATATACGACTTATGGACTGGTGATACCTGGTGATGTTTAAAAGATAATGATCGAGTTGGATGCCTCATCTAGATTTGGTGGATCCAATTTCAATCTCCGAAAGATGTTCAACTGGGTTGATGCTAGTTAAGTTTTGTTTAGTAGCCACACCGCCAAACCGTTCAAACCCATACTCATACTCGGGTTGAACCCGGTCACGGATGGAAGAAAACTCCTTTAGCACCCCCCGCGCCCAAAATCAAAAACACCAACTACTGCAGTACAACCCCTGGAGCTTTGGGGCTCCTGCTTGACCACCAGCGGGGCCTCCGGTCTGTGCTTGGCCGTCAGTGCTCAGGTGGTCGTGCCAGGGAACCTCAGGAAGTTGGACTCACTCAACGATGCTGCAGAAGGTTTCAGGACTCTCAGGACTCAACGACCTTGAAAACAATCCATGGAAGTGAAAGGGAACCACCTGTTTGTAGAGGATTTCAGGGTCCAAGGGGCCGTGCCATCCAGGTCCCCATGATTTGTCTCCAAAAAGTGTAAGGTTACCCTCCACAGATCCGGATGGTTTGCCATGGTTTGCCTATGTTGCTGCTGCCCCACCAAATGTAGTCAATTGTTTCAGTGCAAAGAATCTCGGCCATTTCTTGATGTTTTTGTGTGTTGTTCTTATTGCATGTTCAAGTTATTTAAAGTCCATTCATATACTGTACATAAACAATACAAACTTAGGCCGTAATTACTGAACATGATTGGGGGCCCGCTCATGGGTACATTACTTCTTGATCAATGCCAATAAGACAGAAAGCAGGAGAACCGCCCAATGTGTCATATCATTCCCGACATGACATGGACATGTACTTTGCCATTTTTGACCATGTCATGTTTCTTTGCAAATGGGCCATGTTCCCTGTCTATGCTAATGACCAGTGCTGTAGCTTTGCCTGATCAACGCCCAATATTGACAGAATCCCACCAGCTAGGCGGAGGTCGTTTCCACGATATATACCTTGGAATTCCAGTCGTCATAGTCGTCTCCAAAAAAATGTCCAAAGCGTTTGGCGGTTTCTGTGGACGTTGTATGTGGAAGCACAAGGCATTCCCGAAACTTGGCAGAACGAAGCTTACAACTCTTGATCTTAATTCTTTATAGCCACTGTGCTCATCGGTTGAAACCGATGTTCGGGCCACATGGCCGACGAACTCGTGTGACCCTCGTGAGGGGCAAATCCAAGGCCACGCTTGATGCGTTCAGCGCAGCCGGGGCAGGCGTGAGTGGGAGGGAATGATGCTGGTGCTTTGGGACAAGTTGGAGCTACCCTTTCTCAAACTGACATGGTGCCCCTGGTGAATGAGGAGTTTGATGTGGAGTTGCAGTACTTTTTAGAGAAAAGTCATGTTCAACAGGTGCAACTTGGTGCTGACTGTGGGCCAAGTGTAAATCTTCATTCCTCAATCATGCACATAAATACTCCTGACCATCCCTCACATAAATATACTCCGGGCACCCTTTTTGGTTGAACATCACCAGATCGGGAAAGGGCGATGGTTGGACCCTGCGGTGGACCCAACGAATCGCACGACCCAACGGGGTCAAGTGACCATTGACGCATCAACCACTGACGCTTGTTCGATGCCCATCCTCTACTTGCAATACCATGCCAAACTCTTCATGTTGATGGTGGATGAGAGGTGGAAGTGGATGGATGGGGTGGTCTTTGTGCTCATTTTTGACTGCCACCATGAATGCTTGGGCTCAATGAAATGTCCGTATATAAATAAAAGACGTATCAACAACATTACAAGGTTGTCCCTGCAAGAGATTTCCAATGTTGTTCATTTGCGGACTTGGATCTGGATTTCTTGGATGTGGAGGCTGTTTTGACACTGCCGGTCTTCCGCATGGCCAAGGACCAGGGGCGGAGTGTATCGGATGACCAGATGACCAGATGGGATCAAGACGGTGAGCGGAGAGGCAGAGAGAGAGAGCCCCAGGGAGGGAAGGAGGGAGGGAGGGGAGGAACAGAAGGACCTATACGGCTGCATGGGGATCTTGCAGTTTCTTTGAGCACCCACAGATCCCAGGTTAGTATAGGTTGGTCCTTTTGCTTGGTTCAAGCTCAACTTGCATTTGTTCAAGTAGCCACAGTTGCACATGAAGGTCGTGTGAAGGATTCAATGATGCAGGCGTAGTTATAGTTGATGATTTTTCGAGATTGATCGGTCACATCCCATTGCAGGATGAAAGAAAGCCTCCAACGAGTGACAATAGATAGAGCAGGTTCGGTGAAGTTCACTGATCATGACGCATTAGCCCCAATACGGTTAACCTATGTTAACCTATACCTATACCTCGATTGCACCCATGTTCAAGAGGCGACCCAGCACTCACTCCAAGCCATCGAAAAGCCCAAAAACATTTGTTATGGCAATAGCAGCCACTGCCTTAGCCCGGGCAGCGCGCACGGCGCGCGCCGTGCGCGCCGCGCCTGGCGTGGCCCCTGCCTCGCACACGCTGCTCACCGGGCAGCGCACTACTCACGGCGCCCACTGGAGCCGTTGGAGCTTGGCTGTGGCTGCGGCACGGGGCGCCACACGGCGCGCACGGAGTTCGGTGCAGCGCTGGGCGAGCGCCCGGAGTTCAGTGCACGTGCTCTCGGATGCTTGGAGAGGTTGGGAGGTGGGGAAAGGTAATGGAATACTGTATATAGGTCGACTAAGATGGTACGGTGAGGATTTGGGGGTAATCAATTTATCATGGTGACGGTGAAGAGAGTGCATCATGGTGCTTGTTATAATTACTCATATCAGGGAGGAACGCAAGTGGCTTTTGTAGTTCACCAAGAATACTAAGGTTGGGCATCAAAGGTCAAAGTTAAGATTCAATCAACCAAAGCAAGCCCAGCTCAGGAATTAGTTGTTCGGTTCTATTTTTTCACCTTGTGTGGGGCGCCATCCTGGGTCATGCGCCAAGGCTTGCAATGAGTACCGCCAGGAGACCATCATCCTGGAACGGAGTGCTGAGGTTCATGGAGGCTTGCCGAGAAGTTAGGATGTTGTGACATACTTGGCCAACCAAAGTCCCAAAGTTTCCAAAAGCATGCTCCAAAGCATTCAAAAAGAATCATAAAAGGTGGAAATCCCTTTTTCAGCGGTAAGGATTCTTATTTTTCCCCTGCCGTTTGCATCCGAAAGGGGCAGCGACATGGTGAGGACCAGCTGACCAGCTATAGATCATCCGTGTCTCTGACACAGAATGAACGGATCATTTGACTCATTAGTTGAATGGATCTTTTGACTTCCACACCCTTTTTTTCGCCGCAACCGGGTGATGTGCGAGGTTGCACGGAACACGGAACTGCCTCAGCTCTTGAAACAAGCATCAACAAATGGGTGACGCGAGGCAGCCTCACCGGGCTGGAAGATGTTTTTGCAACATCGTTCGGGGAAGGGACCAGGGATGGAAAGGACAGGTGCATGCGTTCATTTTTTGGAACGCTTCCCCAAGCTGATGTGAAACCATGGCACCCAAAGATGGGGTGCATCTCAAATTGCATGAGTGCTTCACTGCTTGAGTACCTTGAGTGGAGTAAGTGCACTCCTTAATGTCGATCCTTTTGTTGAAAATGATGGAACTTTCTGTTTTTTCTTTTTGAGGTTCATTCATGCCGGCAGAACATGCAATGAACATATGCAAATGAACGAAGTCCTGCACTGTTCACCGAGGATATTCCTTCCAGACGGTGGGCTTGGGTGAGCCCTTTACCGGTGCCTTGGCATCACGCTTGCCCGTCCGGTTGCCCGAGTGTTCTCCATTCGAGGAACGGCATCCACTGAGGCGTGGGGATGAAGCTTTTCCTCTATGACAGAGCGCTGAAAGAGCGACTGGGCGGGCGAATTGGAGCAGCGAACAGGGCGAATCGCATATCCGCTGGGCGAATCGAGCATCACCCTTTTCTGAACAGCTTCACATGCTCCGCTCGATCACCAAGGACGGTGCCGTTCGCTCGGTGAACCAGCCGGCAGCCCCAAACGGGTGAAACAACTGCCCGAGGGCTGGGCTATCCCCCTCAAACAGCCTCCCGGTGCTCCCTCCTTACTGCACGCGCGGTATGTGCCCGGTATACTCGCATCTCCCCATTGGTTCCAAGGCTCGTCGGCCGGCAGATACCAGCAAATGAGCCGGTCTTGTTGTTGGATGCGTGGGACACACTGATCTTAGGCTGGGCATGTGGACCGTGTGGATGGGACCTCCGGTTTTGGCAGGAAAGCGAGCGGGGGGGGGTTGGGTGTCCGACTGTGTGTTTTTGCTGGGTCAAAGTGTGCGGCGTAAAGGCGGCTAAAGGCGTTTTGATGTGTTTCTCCCTGTGTAGCTTCGGGTATAAGTGACGTCACAGTATAATTGCTGCTAGGCTGCCATGTTCTCACGCAAACCACCATATTATCATAATTGGTCGAGATTGCTTGGTGCTTAAACGCTTGATTCCCAAGCTCTCTACGTGATCCCGGACCAGTTCTCCAGAAGCCACAGGTTGAGATGGCCATCGTTTTCGAAGATGGGAGCCCTCCTGAACGAACTCAGGCCCAGTTGTTGTAGCTTATATCGTACACCTGACCTGGGGTCTCAAATTACCGCGGAAAATGGGTACAAGATGAGTACCTGTTTGTATACTGTACTTGTAGGGTCATGTCCCACTTTCTAAGGTACTTTGGAAGGGTCCAGGTACACGAGTATACAGCCCAACCAGAAGAGCCGGCGACTCTTGGCAAACGGCAGCAAGGCTTGGGAATGCTCCCCTCCTTCAAGGATCAACTTCTTTCCACCAGGAGGGCGGAATGACCGAACTACTACATGGGAGTGGAACACCACCTGTTTGTAGAGGAAAATGGTCATCCAAGGGGCCATTTCCATGAATATTTCAGGGAGTGTGTGTATACAGTATATTCAAAAATGCACACAGTGCACACAGAGAGAGAGAAAGAGAGAGGGAGAGAGAGAGAGAGAGAGAGAAATGATTTCTTTAGTGTCATAGGCTGATGTGGTTTTCTTACCGTGATATTTGGCTTTCAGCTTTGTGGGTTTGGGTTGAATGTCAGCCCCCTGCAACAAGTGCAGGGCCGCGCCATCCAGCGCGGGAGACTCGTGGTGCCTGGCTTGCAACGCCTGCGAGTCCGTGACCTCCGAGCTGCGCTCGCGCTGGGGGTCGGTCGAACTGAGGAGGCTCGCGGCGGACTCTTTGGTCGAGCAGGCCAAATTTGTCAAGACCCTCCGCATTCTCTCTTTGAGGCTGCGGTTTGAGGGCGAGGACAAGTCAGGCACCCGAGGTACAGCTGGCCCATCCTTAGGAGCTAAGGCTAAAGCTTCCGCTGCTGCACCCCCTCCTAAAGCTCCACCTCTCAGGCGTGAAGAGGTTGTGGCAAAGGAGGAGTACGAGGAAGTTGAGGAGGAGCAAGAGTCGGAGGGTGAGAGCGAGTACAGTTACGAGTCGTCGGAGCACCAAGCAGTTGCAGAGACTCGGCAGGCAGCAGTTGAGCAGAAGTTGGACCGCAAGCCCGTGACGCACCGGAGGAGCTCTGGGTCAGCGGACGTTGAAGAAGGAAAAAAGAGGAAGCACTAGTCAGAGGAGGTAAGAGAGTTGCCTGTGAGTGGAAAGAAGGACAAGAAGGCGAAGGCAGAGAGAGAGACAGGAGACAGGCATCGTCGGAGACGTGGAAGGAGAGGAGGATCCAAGCACCAGCAGTCGTCGAAACGTCGGCACGATCCTTCAGCTCGCATCCATCGCAAACGAAGTGTGAAGAAACTCATTGAGCTCAAGTCGCAGGACCAAGCAGGGACGCACCGAGAGAAGGAATGTCGACGTTGAAATCGATTTTCCCAGAATGGCAAGAGGGCGATCTCTTTTCGCTCACCGACCATGCAGAATGGCATATGATCACCCCTACAAAAGGAGATGTCGCGTGGATTCCGTTACAAACCACCGATATGGAGAACTCGCCAAATTCTTGTGCCGCCTTCCTCATCCTGGACAGAAGTGTTACCGGAGATGGAGGAATGTTGTTGCCAGCCAAGTTCATTGCATCGGAGGACAGTGGAGTAGGGAAGATGTTGTCGACTTGGTTCAACAGGAGAGGAGGAGGCCTTCATCTGTGCAGTTCGTCGCCGTGCACGCATTTCGATCCTGCGTTGTTGCATTGTACTCAGGTCCGTTTCTTCACCGTGGAGAACTTTGTGGCCGATTGTTATGGTGCAGCTCAAAGGAGACAGGTGAAGAAATGGCTTGCAGGAGGAGAGGCATCAGAGGTAGAAGGAGACCCCAAGGAGGCGAAGCCGCTTGCAGAGGAGGTCGACTTGACACAGGAGAAGGCTGCTGGGAGAGAGAAAGGCAAAGGAGGGAGTACTCCACCTCCTCAAGGACAAAGGCCTGGGGCGTTGAGAAAGAGGCCAGCCGCCAGCGTGCATGCCCCAGCTGGAGACGCAGCCAAAAACCGTCCCAGTTCCAAAAGTCGTTCAACCCCCAAGCGATCAACTTCGGAAGCGTTAGAGGAGTCCAAGGAGCGAGAATTGGCCAAGGATTTGAGAATCGAAGAAGGGCAAGGTCTCAGCCAAGCAGGTACTGCAGATTTGAAGAAGAAGCTGGAGGCCCTGCGGGTTCGGTTGGGAGGAGCGCCAAAGCCGAAGAAGGTGCGTTTCGACACCGAGCCCACAGAAACCGAGCCCGAGGATGCAGAGCAGGAGGACTCTTCAGGTACAGGCTTTGCACGGGAGTTGAAGGGTCTGAACGCGGGGCCCAGCCTGCGACGAACCCCTCACCCACCAGAGGCTACAAGAGGTACTTCTTCGAAGAGCATCTCATCACAACTGGCGCTTCAAGCTCAACAGATGGCAGATGGGGGCCAGGAATTGAGGAAGAGCTCGAGGACTTCTGGATCAGGCAAAGGCGACGAGAACAAGGAGGTGTTGGCGCTTCTGAACCGTGTGCTGGGGAGGAGTGCCAGCGCTGGGAGAAGCGGGGACGGAGGAGATCCCCCAGACCGGGACGAGAAGAAGGGGCGCAGTGGGTCGAGGAAGAAGAGCAAAAAGAAGAAGGACAAAGGAAAGAAGAAGAAGCGAAAGCTGATCAATGGGGTTCTCATGTCGGCTTCAAGCTCGGAGGATTCAAGCGAAGATTCGTCCGAATCCGACAGCAAAGACTTCGAAGCGCCGTTGAGAAAAAGAGCCAAAGCCAGCCCAGGCAGTGTGCTTCGGTTGCTCGTCAAGCGAGCGCAGACGGCGTTGGACCAGTCAGCATTGGTGGATATGGACCCCTTGAACAACAGCGCAATCACTACAGGAGTGAAGTTGGTGACTTATTACCAGCTTCACATTCGACCCCACTACGCCCATGCTCGAGGACAGATGAGAGACCTCCACCTGATGGCACAGACCTTGGACCTGCTTCGTTCCGGACTCATCGCCCAGGCCTGCGATCACCTTGCAGGCCACTTCGTTGCCATCCATCAATCCCTGATAGATCAGGGTTGGAGCCAGGCGAAATATTTGGAGGTCATCGAAGGCGAGGAGTTGGGGGCTACTCCGGCATCGATATTGCTGGAGACAAGACGCCATGCCAAGACCTCAATGCGTGCAGAGACCCCAGACGCTTGGCTGCCAGGCAGGAACAGAGGCTGGTTCGGAGGAGAAAACAGAGGAAAAGGTTGGTGGCCGGCGGACAAAGGAAAAGGCAAAGGGAAGAAAGGCAAGTGGAAGGACAAAGACAAGGCCGAAAAAGGAAAAGAGGGGAAAGGAAAGAATGCATGGAAGGAGAGCATGGACAAGGGAGATCAGGCAGCAAAGTGAGGAAGAGGAGTTGCAGGCTGCCTCTAAATCCTTCTGGAGGATCGGAAGGTTTGGCGCCAGGTTTAAAGGAGGGTGAGAAGTTGATAGAGAACAGAGGAGCTTTGAAGAAGGCTGGGGTAGATGAAACTTCACCGCCCTGGACAGATGCATGTCGTTTGAACGAATTTGAGACAGGTCAAGAGCTCCTCCAAGCCGTAGGCAGTCGGATTACAGACATCAGGACCGCTGGTTGCTTGCTGGCTTGGGTGGCTGCAAAGGCCGGAGACTTTTTGTCGGGCCCTGCTTGGGCATGGGTTCGACGTGTGCTTTTTGAGAGGAGAGACACCGCAGCCTGTCACGAGAAGCCTCGCAAGGCTGTCTCGTTTCCAGTTAGATCAGGAGAGCTTGTCACATTGGTTGAAAGGTTGAGGAGAATGAGGATTGAGGAGGTTGTGTCGTCCCACTTCGTTGACGAGTGTTGTGAGGAGTGTTGGATGAGCACAGCATTGGTTGCATTAAATAGCCTTGCTGGCTATCCTCAGCCGCTGGCTCCTGGAGGTTGGAGCGTGATTGAACGAAGAGGCATTGAGAATGTCAGGGCGGCCGTGAGAAGGTTGCTGAACTCTCCGCACGGACCAATTGAGTCCTTCGAAAAAGTATGCGCGGACGTTTCGAGGGCTCGTGTGGGGTATGATGGTGAAGAGGTAGGCACATGTGAGGCTTTAACCTTGGCTCAGGTGATCCCTGCTTTACCCCCTCATGGTCACGGAGGTTCCATTGCGTTGGGGTCGGTTCTTTCTGAGTCAACGTGTAGGTTGCTGGAGCACCCGGAGGATTTGCTTAGAGAGGATTTTGTTAAACCAATTCCCCCCATTCCTGGAAGAGCTCATTTTGGGAAAGGTGAGAAGGACGGAGTCTGCAAGGAGTTGGTTACACGTGGAATCTGCACTTGGGTGAAGTCGGAAGACGTGTTGGTTTTTAAAGGAACTAAGATTCTGAACGGCATCTTTGGAGTTCGGAAGCCGTCATGTCTTGAAGATGGCCGACCAGTGCTGCGGGTAATTATGAACCTTCGGGCTAGCAATTCCATCTTGAAACAGCTCAAAGGTGCCGTTGGTTCTTTACCTTCCATAACCTGTTTTCAGAGCGCCACCTTGGAAGAGGACGAGGGACTTCACTTCTATCAGAGCGATATGTGCTCGGCGTTCTACCTTTTCCGTCTTCCTGCGGTGTGGCATAGGTACCTATGCTTTAATGTAAGTGTACAAGGGGAAGAGATTGGGGCCGAACCAGGCCAACAATACTTCCTAAGCTGCTCCGTACTCCCCATGGGTTGGCATTGCAGCGTAGGGCTGATGCAAGAAATCAGTGAAAGGATACTGTGGACGGCCGGTCTCCCGACAGAGCAGCAACTCCGCAGGGGCTATGCGGTGCCGGCAATCTTGACCCACTGTGCCACTGAGTCCTTAAAGTCTGATCGAAGCTTTTGGCAAGTCTATCTTGACAACTTCATGGGAGGAGAGAAACGAGCTCATCACGATCCTTCAAGCATTGGTGACAGCCTACATGCAACAGCTGAAAAGGCTTGGGCAGAGACTGGCATTATCTCCTCCGAAAAGAAAAGGGTAAGTAATTGCATGGCCGTTGAGGAGCTTGGAGCTCTCATTGAGGGAAAGCTAGGCCTTCTGGGTGGTTCCCCCAAGCGTTTTTGTAAGTTGTTGCAGGCTACCCTAGGGGTTTTGAGTCAGAGGACGCTCAGCCGGAAACAGGCACAGATCATTGCAGGTCGCTGGGTTCATGTCTTACAATTTCGCCGTCCGGGAATGGGGTTCCTTGATGGCATTTGGAAATTCGTCAACTCTTCCTCGGATGCTAGTGGGCTGGCCCTGACGACCAAATTTGAACTTTTCTGTGTAATGTTCGCCACCCCTCTGTTGCATACCTCGTTGACGGCTGAAGTTCATAACTCGTTTTGGTGCAGTGATGCCTCAGAAAAAGGAGGAGCAGTTTCTTATGCGTCCGAGCTCTCCCCCATGGGAAAGGACTTCCTCATGTCAGCTAGATTAGGCGCTCGGTCACTCGGAACGGCCCCTGTCTTGGTGATCGCCCTGTTTTCGGGGATTGGGGGAACTTTCCGGATTTACGATCTCCTTGATGTGATCCCTCAAGGGGCCATTGCCGTGGACATCCATAAACCGGCAAACCGTATTGTAAGCAGGAGATGGCCGGGAGTGAGGATCCTTAGGGACGTGAGAGACATTACCCATCAAGACGTTGATGAATGGGCTTTGGACTTCTGTTCAGTTAAGGAGGTTCATTTGTGGGGAGGTTTTCCCTGTAGAGACCTTAGCTCTGCCCGAGCATTTAGGAAGAATCTGGATGGAGAGTGTAGTGGCTTGTTCTTTGAGTTCCTGCGAGTGTGGGACCTCTTGGCCATAAGTTTTCCAGACGCATGTATCAAAGTGGCAGCCGAGAACGTGGCGTCCATGGATGAACAAGCATGTCGTGAGATATCCCAATGGATGGGGTGTCAGCCATACTGGCTTGACTCAATTGACGCTGTGCCTATGAGGCGGCCGCGCCTATGTTGGACAAATGTCACGGTGGAGAATTGCATGGACGGCATTAGTTGCATGCAAGAGCGAAGGTGGACAAAAATCTCTGCAAAAGCACCATACCCACGAACAGAACAGTGGCTCGAACCAGGCTGGTATTGGCCTGGGGAGTCACAATGTGAAGGGTTCCCCACTTGCATGCGGGCAGTGCCAAAGGATTCACCACCCGCTTTTCCTGCAGGGCTACATCGAGCGGATCAGGATTGTCGCCAGAGATGGGAAGCAGCAGAGTACATTTTTCCACCATATCAATTTCGATCTGAATTCCTTGTGTGGCGGAACTCATCTTGGCGTCTAATAAATAGCGAAGAAAGAAGCCTTTTGATGGGGTATGGTTTTGGTCATCTTGACCTCGCTTGGGCTGCTAGTAAGATCAAAGGGGACAGAAAGGGTTTTGAACTTGAAAAGTGTTCGCTTATTGGTGATGCTTTCAGCATCTTCTCATTTGTTGTGATTGGCGTTGCACTTTGTCAGGGATGGATACCTAGAGTTCATTTTCACCACCTTGCTGCCCGAATGGGAATGGCTCCCGGTTATAGAGCCCCTTTCAGATTCCAAGCCCCGCTTCAGAGAGAACTGCTTTATGGTTGCCAAAGCGTGGCTGAGGCTCAAGTAGGGTTGTCTATGTCCGAACTGAACAAATTCTTCCTTGGCAGGGCAAACTTCACTGGTAGTGACATAAGGGTTGTAAGTGGCGACGTGCTCAACCCTAGATGTTTTCCAAGACAACCTGTTTGTGCTCGGTGGTGGCATTGGTCGCATTGCTTCAAAGTTAAATGGACTTCTCGGTCTCACATCAACTTGTTAGAGCTTAAAGCGATTGTTCTAAGTCTTCAACGTGGAATTGAGCGAGGTAAGTGGAGCAATTGTCGGATCTTCCACGCAACAGATTCATATGTCGCCATGAGTGTCATTAGCAAAGGTCGAACCTCTAGTGTGATGTTGAACCGTTTGTTGAAGAAGCTTAACGCAATGTTGCTACTCCATGGCATCCAGCTCCTGATGACACATGTAGAGAGCTCGGAAAACCCAACTGACGAGGCCAGTCGAGCATGGTGAGGATCCATGCTAGACTCATCCACCGTACGACGCGAAAACAGCGTCGGGCAGCTCGACAGGGAATAACTTTAGCAGAAGCGGGAATTAGCGAGCGAACTAAGCAAGGCTTTTTGAGTGCTTTGCAGAAGTTGTTGCCGGCCATTGAGGGAGTCGAGACCCCTTCACAACTTGATCTTGCAGTCGCCAGTTGGCTTGAAACAGCTTGGGAGGATGGAGAAACATTGTACGTTGTTTCCAATGCCTTGTGTGGGCTTCATTTCTTTGAACCGTTGACAAAGCATTGCACCCCGAGCGCTTGGCGTTTATTTGCCACCTGGCGGAAACTTGAATGGCCTTCTCGTGCACCTCCGCTTACGTGTAGCATTGTCAAGAGCTTAGCAAATTATGCAGTGAGCCATGGCGATCTCTTTTTCGCTGCGCTTTTGTGTCTGGGGTTTTACGCCCTGTTGCGTACGGGCGAACTCTTGGCATTGCGAGGCACGGATATCCTTTGCAGTTCAAAACAGCTTGTCTTATCCCTTAAAGGGACAAAGTCGGGACAGAGGAACTCCGCAGACGAAACAGTTGCTGTTGAGGATCCGTTTTGTATAATGATCTTGCAGACCGTGCTTGATATTCTTACATCTCGACAAGCTCTCAGTCATCGTTTGTGGGAGTTCTCCAACCAAAGTTTCAGAAATCATTTTGAAGCGTACATGAAAAGGTTTCATCTTGAGCACCTCCTTTTCCGCCCATACTCCCTCCGGAGGGGGGGGGGCCACGCATCTTTTTCAGGTTTCCGGAAGCATGGAGCTTGCATTGGTCAAGGGTCGTTGGACCTCAAATAAGGTGGCCAGGGTCTACATATCCGATGGCCTCAGTAAGCTTCCTGATCTACTTCTTGATTCCAACACCCGTCGATTGCTTGACTCCTGGTACCCCCGTTGAAAACAACGGAAGGGGAGGTCGTGGAAGGTGCGCCTAGATGCGCTAAGTCGCGCTGAAGCGCGCTGGTG